AAATTTAAGTTTTGTACTACAGAAACTTTTGGAACTACCTGAAAGTAATCAATATGGAATTGGTTAAATAAGCTGTAATACATCCACACGAGAAAATCCCATGCAGTTAATAAAGAGTAAGACTGGGCTCTACTCAATACAGGACGTTTGAAAGAGAAGTTGAAGAGAAGTATATACGTACACTATAATTACATTCTTGTAAAAACAAAACAAAAGACCCTGTATAAATACATGCAGAGGAAGAAGTCTGGAAGGGTAAGAAGCGACTCTGGATATATATGCAGGTGGGTAGATGAGTGGGGTGGAGGCTTCCATTCACCTCACATTTCTGTATTACCTAAATACATTTTATTACATAATTCCTCTTTTTTTTTTTTTTTTTTTTTTTAAACAAATATATAAACTCTCTTTATACATGTTTATGTGGATCAGCCCGGTCTCATTCTTTTTATTGACTGCACTGTATTCTCTTGGGTGCATTATAGCTTCTGTAACTTTATGCAAAATGCTTACAGTATAATGTCAAAAGGGGGAGAAGACGAATGGCTGTATGTACACCACAATTACAACCACAAAAATTACTTTATACACGAATAAAGACAAGGGCTTAGAAAGATGAGATTACAGACTCATTCCATCTTTTAGGGTGAAAGAATTCTGACTTTTTGTAGGTATGTGACGTTACCATTATAAATGTAGTTAGGAAAAGTATATTTCTGCAATTTTCCCATTAAGGGGTCTATAATGTCTGTATAGTAAAAAACAATTCCTTTTTTGAAAAAAGGAAAATGGGTCTTTGGTTCTAGAATACTTGCTTTCCATAACACAGTGACAGCAAGCACCAAAAGACAGTGCTGTAGCTGTAGCTCTCATCATACAGCTTCAACAGACATTTTGGGCAAGAGAACAATACAATCAAAGTTTTCCAAGGGCCTTCAAAGAGAGTTGTTGCTTACATAAACAATTCTGGTTATTCAAAAATATATACACATATTCAGCTTATAAAATGATGAACTAGCCAGGCGCGGTGGCTCACGCCTGTAATCCCAGCACTTTGGGAGGCCAAGGCAGGTGGATGACGAGGTCAAGAGATCGAGACCATCCTGGTCAACATGGTGAAACCCCGTCTCTACTAAAAATACAAAACATTAGCTGGACATGGTGGCGCGTGCCTGTAATCCCAGCTACTAAGGAGGCTGAGGCAGGAGAATTGCCTGAACCCAGGAGGTGGAGGTTGTGGTGAGCTGAGATCGCGCCATTGCACTCCAGCCTGGGTAACAAGAGCGAAGCTCCGTCTCAAAAAAAAAAATAAATAAATAAATAAATAAAATGATGAACTAGAGCACACAATTTATTCACAAGGAATGACATCCTAATCATCAAAAAGCACAAGACATTAAGCAGAGGCTAGTTTAATTGAAGGAAATCAAATGAACATCAATAAAGAGCTGATTCTGAGACTCCGTTGTATATTTTCTACTTCTAAAAAGATGCAGACACTAGTCTGAGTGTTGAAAATCCTTTTGGAGGACAAAGTCAAGTCACTCGACTTCACTAGTTAAGTATATAGGTCATGTTAGCACCCTGGGACATTCAAAAATCCTGAACACAGGCAAGATCTTTTTCCATTCTCATTTCCAAGATCACAGGGAGGCCTAGGAACTAAAATTAGCTCTCACGTGAAAATCAACAATTTATTCATTTTCAGTCTTTGTTGTTTGTTTAACGCAACCAGCTTCCCGAAATAGGCTATTGTCAACAGGCTCGTAGCCAATTTCCCCAGAATGACTCCTGCTCTGCCACTGATGAAAACAGTATTACCATTATAGATAGATTCTGAACAGAACATTTCTGTAATCCATGGTTGAAATAACAATCATTCTAATCCTGTAGAAGCTGAACCCGATGTAACAAAACAAAGGTCAAAAAACCTCCCAGTATTACTCCAAGGTTAGTTTCTAGTCTTTAGATTGTCACTGAAGTGCTAAAAATGGTACAGTCTACCCAGTATGACAAAGCCCTTCAATGCTAGGTCTTTGGCTTAAAAACAAATCAGTTAAATGTCACATTCTATTCAAGCTCAACTGACAGAGCTGAACTAAGCTGGAGGCTGTCCCTATGGAACTGATTATTGTGAAAAAACACAAACTAAAATCTAATTGCAATGGTCAGATATGATTATAACAAAGCAGTGACACGTGCAGGGAAGATAGACAGAGATATCACACTAACAATCCTTGTCACCTTAATTATGCCAGGCACAAGCACCTTCCATGAACGAAGTGTCTATAGCATGCTAGTCATTGTACATGCATCACTGCTAACCTTTGTGACAACCATCCGAGGAGGTCCTCTTATCCCTTCTTTTCAGGTGAGGAGACTCAGTCTCAGTAAAGCTGAGAAAATCACATAAAATCTCAGAGCTGGAAGGGGCAACTTCAAGACTGATACTTAAGAAGACTAACTTAGAAATGTCCCCTCTTTCCACAATACCCCTGATTCCCTTAAGAGAATACTTAGGGGTTAAGCAAAAAAGTGACACTCTAACCCACCAAAGGCCTAATGTTTTGTCTGACATTTCTTTTCCATGATTTGCTGAGTTTACATTTTGGTGATTCTTTAATACAACTCACAGAGTTAAATAAAGTCATTGTAGGTCAGGTGCAGTGGCTCACACCTGTCATCCCAGCTCTCTGGGAGGCCGAAGGGGTGGACCGCTTGAGGTCAGGAGTTCGAAACCAGCCTGGACAACATGGCGAAACCCCGAAATACAAAAATGAGCCAGGTGTGGGGGCATGTACCGGTAATCCCAGCTACTCAGGAGGCTGAGGCACAAGAATCGCTTGAACCTGGAGACGGAGGTTGCAGTGGCTGAGATTGCACCACAGCAACTCTAGTCTGGGTGACAAAATGAGACTGTCAAAGAAAAAAAAAAGCCACTGGAAAAACAAAGAATATTCTACCAGTGTAGACAATCATGAATAACACCTACCCAAGCAAGCAGGAAGGGGAAAATTTCTGGGAGCCGGCAGGTCACTTACACCAAGAGTGCAACTCCTCTCTGCTCCGTTTATCATAGGTCCCTTCTAACCACGCTAGGTTGCCAACAATAAATATGCCCACATTGCTCCCAACTAAAAGAAAAAAAGGAGGTTCTCCTCAAAACTGCCATATCCTCTTCCATACCTTCACAGACACATTTCTTTTTCCCTGCAACAAAATCTTTTTAAAAAACTTTTTAAAGATTACTTTTAATTTTTCTTTTCTTTTTGCTTTTGAGACAGAGTCTTGCTCTGTTGCCCAGGCTGGAGTACAACAGTGCAATCTTGGCTCAGTGTAACCTCCGTCTCCTAGGTTCAAGCGATTCTCATACCTCAGCCTCCTGAGTAGCTGGGAGGCTAATTTTTGCATTTTTAGTAGAGATGGGGTTTCACCAAGTTGGCCAGGCTGGTCTCGAACTCCTAGCCTCAAGTGATCCGCCCACCTAGGCCTCCCAAAGTCCTGGGATTATAGGTATGAGCAACTGTGCCCCGTCAATATTTACTAATTTTTGTGGAAACATGGTAGGTACATGTATTTAGCGGGGGTGTGGGATATACATTGTATTTTTAACAAATCAAATGTTTGTGGCAATTTTACATCTGGTAAGTCTATTGGTGCCATTTTTCCAATAGCACATGCTCACTTTATGTCTCTATGTCACATTTTGGTAATTCTCACAATACTTCAAACTTTGTTGTGGTGATCTATGATCAGTGGTTTTTGAGTGTTTTTGTGTGTGTGTGTGTTTGTTCTTGTTTTAGTTACTCAGGAGACTGAAGTGGGAGGATTGCCTGAGCCCAGGGGTTTGAGGCTACAATAAGCTATGATCCTACTGCTGCACTCTAGCCTGGGGTGACAGAGACCCTCTCTCTAAAAAAGAAAAAAAAAATGTACTACTCCCGTGAACATACAAATGATAAGAAAGCAAAACAGACTTCTTGCTGATACAAAGAAAGTTTTAGTGATCTGGATAGATACCAGCCACAGCATTCCCTTAAGACAAAGCCTAATCCAAAACCAGGCCCTAACTCTCTTCAATTCTATGAAGGCTAGGAGAGGTGAGGAAGCTGAAGAAAAGCTGGAAGCTGGCAGAGGTTGGTTCGCGGGATTTAAAGAAAGAAGCTGGTGAGTGTGGTGGCTCACACCTGTACAGTAATCCCAGCACTTTGGGAGGCCGAGGTGAGTGGATCACGAGGTCAGGAGATCGAGACCATCCTGGCTAACACAGTGAAACCTGGTCTCTACTAAAAATACAAAAGTTAGCCGGGCATGGTGGCACGCGCTTGTAGTCCCAGCTACTCGGGTGGCTGAGGCAGGAGAATCAGTTGAACTCGGGAGGCAGAGGTTGCAGTGATCTGAGATCGTGCCACTGCACTCCAGCCCGGGCAACAGAGGGAGACTCCATCTCAAATAAAAAATAAAAAAATATATGCTTACGTATTTTTTATTTTTTAAAAAAGCAAAAAATAAAAAAATAAAAAATAAAAGAAAGAAAGAAAGAAACCATTTTTATAACATAAAAGTACAAGGTGAAGCAGTGAGTGCTCACATAGAAGCTGCAAGTTATCCAGAAGATATAGCTGAGACAACTGATGAAGGCAACTACACTAACTACACACTAACCAACAGATTTTCAGTGTAGACAAACAGCATTATATTGGAAGACATTACCATCTGGGACTTACATAGGTAGAGAGAAGTCAATCCCTGGCTTCAAAGGACATGTCGACTCTCCTGCTAGGGGTTAATGGAGCTGGTGACTTTAAGTTGAAGTCAGTGTTCATTTATCATTGTGAAAATCCTAGGGCCCTTGAGAGTTAACGCTAAATCTACTCTGCCTCTGCTCTATAAATGCAACCACAAAGCCCGGATGACAGCACATCTGTTTTCAGCACAGTTTACTGAGTATTTTAAGCCCACTGTTGAGAACTACTGCTTAGGAGGAAAAGAAAAGACGCAAGTGTTACAACCCTTTTAGAATTTGTCTAGCAGGCTTTCTGGTTTTTGCTGGAAAGTGCCCCCTGACCAAAGAAACAAACAACAACAACAAAAACCCTTTCAAATATTATTGCTCACTGACAATGTATCTGGTCACCCAAGAGCTCTGATGGAGACGTACAAGATTAATGTTCTTTTCACACTCGCTAATACAACATTCATTCTAAAATCATTCCAGGAGTAATTTTGACTTCCAGGTCTTTTCTTTTTTCTCAGTTTTTAAAATTTTATTTTTATAATAGGCATGAACTGGCATAAGCTACCACACCCAGCCCCATGTCTTATTATTTAAAAAACATTTTAAGGCCATAGACAGTGATTCCTCAGCCAGATCTGGGCAAAGTGAACTGACAACCTTCTGGAAAAGATTCAGCATTCCAGATGCCATTAAAAACACTTGGGATTTGCCAGGCATGGTGGCTCATGCCTGTAATCCCTACACTTTGGGAGGTTGAGAGAGGCAATCTCTTGAGCCCAGGAGCTAAAGACCAGATCGGGTGAAACAACAGCAACAAAAGATTAGCTGGGTGTGGTGGCACACAGCTGCAGTCCCAGCTACTCAGGAGGCTGAGGCAGGTGGATCACTTGAGCCTGGGGAGGTCGAAGCTGCAGTGAGCCAAGATTACACCACTGCATTCTAGCCTGGGTGACAGAGTGAGACCCTGTCTCAAAAAATAAATAAATAAAAGAACATCTGGGATTGATGAGAGAAAGTCATTATCAATATTAATGGAATATGAAAAAGATGATTTCAACCCTCATGGATGAGCTTGATGGGCTCAAAATTTCAGCATAGGAAGTAACTGCAGATGTGCTAAAAATAGCAAGAGAACTAGAATTAAAAGTGGAGCCCGGCCATGCGCAGTAGCTCACGCCTGTAATCCTGACACTTTGGGAGGCTGAGGCAGGTGGGTCACTTAAGGTCAGCAGTTTGAGATCAGCCTGGCTGCCATGACAAAACCCTGTCTCTATTATAAAATACAAAAATTAGTTGGGCATGATGGTGCACATCTGTAATCCCAGCTACTTGGGAGGCTGAGACAGGAGAACTGCTTGTACATGGGAGGCAGAGGTTCCAGTGAGCCAATCATGCCACTACACTCCAGCCAGAGTGACAGAGCAAGACTCTGTCTCAAAACAAAAAAAAGAAAAAAGAAAAAAAAATCAGACACAAATAGTATATATATAAATTTTTTTGAGATGGGAGTCTCACTCTGTCACCAGGCTGGAGTGCAGTGGCACAATCTTGGCTCACTGCAACCTCCACCTCCTGGGTTCATGCGATTCTTCTGCCTCAGCCTCCTAAGTAGCTGAGATTACAGGTGTGCGCCACCACACCCGGCTAATTTTTGTATTTTTAGTAAAGACAGGGTTTCACCACATTGGTCTGGCTGGTCTCGAACTCCTGACCTTGTGATCCACCCCACTCGCCTTGGCCTCCCAAAGTGCTGGGATTACAGGCATAAGCCACTGCGCCTGGCCCACAAATAGTATTTTTATCAAATTGTGTTCAAGGCATTCATGGATCCTCTGAAATTCTCTAAGTTCATTGTCCTCTGTATATTTCAGTCTACTTAGTTAGAAATATTATTTAAAAGCTCCAAATTTCGTAAAGCATTATTTTTTAGAGATGGGTCTCATCCTGTTGCCTAGGCTGGAGTGCAGTGGTGCAATCACAATTCACTGCAGCCCTGAACTCCTGGGGCTGGGGCTGCAGTGAACTGTGATCACTGTAGGGGATCAAATGATCCTCCCACCTCAGCCTCCCAAGTCGCTGGGATTAAAGATGTGCACCACTTTACCTTGTTGAAATATACAGAGGACAAT